CTTTTTTCTAAAGATACTTTGATATGCTTTCGGCAAATGTCATAATTCTGCCTGCCTAGTTTCAAATTCAAATTGCTACTTTAGAATTCTCTAGGGGTTTAGGAACATGTTCATGCACATGTACTTTATTAATATAAACCAAAACCCAAAATTTGATCCTTCTACGAGGCCTAATATATACATATGGGACATTGGAAATAAAGCAACTCAAAAAGAGAAGTCTATGGTGGCCAGGATGCAGGGAGGAAGAAATTTCAACCAGTATGATTAACTAACACTTGATTTAACAGATAATCATCAATTAAAGTTTTGTTCAAGTAATATCCTTTCAACCGGATCTTTAATATTCTAGTATAATTAAGAGAAGCACTTTGAATGAAAAAGCCAAAAAGGATTAATAGAGATGGACCTGATACAACCTAGCACAATGACACTTCAATTATATTAATATAGTATCTTTGCGATCCATATCTCAATAATGTATTAATAGTCTTGACATAAATACTAGAGATGCTGGACAGGAAAACTATTACCCTAATCACTCCTAAAATGGAGGAGCGTAGCACATAAGGTAGAAATTCTAATGACTCAACATTTTTAAGTTGAAAAGGAAGACATAAAAGAGATTCACCTATGGCATTCCAATACTAGCAGTCTCTCTGTTGTTTTTCCCCTATGATCCCTCTTGATGCATTAATATATACATTGAGTTTCCACAAGAAACTCTACTTTCATATAATTCTTCAATAAAGAAGTAATTGTAATATCTGCAACAGATTCCCAAAACCAAAATTGCTTAACAGTAAGTAGCAGGGCAAGCTGCATAAGATACCAGATAGATTATGGTGCATACAGATGTGACATTACATATTATCCAAGAGGTAAAGGTTTGTTTTGCAAATCAGTAATTGCACCTGACACGAGCAGCTGATAACTGACTATTTTGTAAATTAACTCAACAACCAGCTCCAACCCTTTCCTACCCTTTCCTCCATCGTACCAAGAGTAAAAGTGCCAGAGGCAGCAATGTGAAGGTCAGGTCATCACTGACTGGTACCACGAGCTTGCAGCCTTTTCCTCTCAAACTCAAGCTGGAAAAGAATATTAAATAACAAATTAATGTGCCTCATCAAACTATTAACAGAAATCATATCCCGCATTGCCTAAGTATCTTACCACTCTCCTAACTCGCTCATTAGCTGCAGGAGTTCCTCCAGTTACAGATTCAGGAAGATATGGACTACTAACACGCACCTCATTCAAAACAACTATGACAGTCTTGTCCCAGCGCACAGGAAGCCTGATTACATGCTTTGGTGTCAGTTACAGAAATTTAAAATTAGTAACCCATAACATGACTATCCACAAAATAATTAAAATTCTACAACATTCACAATTTGAATTTCAAGGATGCATGACATTATTGTGAAAAAGATTGTAACTCAGAAGTCCATACATTAGCATAATGTAGAATTTGAACAATAGGAAGGTCACTATTTGAAAGGGGAATATGGAGAAATATGAACTCTTCAAAATAAGAAAGTTTCTGATAGCCCATGGGACTAGTTGGGCGAAATGGCTGGATAACCATGTTATCAAAAATGGGAAAAAAAAAGAAGCTTTTAATTAATAAAAATAATTATTGAGGAATGGATGCCTATTCTGTTCTTTTAATTCTTTTCTCTTTTCTTGGTTGCTACTTCATGTAATGCTCTCAACTGCTCACACCTTGCCACTAGCTTCGGCACTACCCAAATAAACCACTCAAAGCAAATCGTAATTCACCCTAATCAGTAAATTCTTTTACACATGGCCCTAAACTCCAAAATCCTACCCCTATATCTCATAAAACCTTGTTTTCCTAAACACTGAGACAGCCACCATAGATTGTAGTCAAGACTCCTTAAAACAGTCCTGCATCAGCTCTGCGTAACATTTTATTCTAAAACTAGAATGAGCTACTCAACTGATGCAGTCCCTCATTAGAGTACCGATAATTTTGCATTAGCTAATTTCATATTTTATAGCTAGACTAGATATGCATTGGATTCATTCCCGGACAATAAAGCATCAGCATCTTTCAAGTTCCAACCCTAGCAATTGTTTCCTATCCCCCTCCTAACCATAAGGCTGCAGGCTAGTAATCACTCTTAACCAATTTACAAAGCAGTCATAAACTCACCAAGATTACCAGTGGAATGTTTTGCCATTCACCAATTGCTAACATAAACGCATTCTACACTATTCAGTGCCATAGAGGAAAATAAAATGGAGAAAAGAGTAAAGGCAGAGACAGATTACTACTCAAGCTGTGAATATTACTATAAATGGAGAAAAGGGTAAAGGCAGAGACAGAGTACTACTCAAGCTGTGAATATTACCATAAATGGTGAAAAGGGTAGAGGCAGAAGCAACATACGTCTTAGACAAAGCATCAAAAATGCTCTGGGCCTCACTCGTAACACCCACTCCAATTCTCTCAGCCTCTGTCTCTGCATGCCTGCAAAATTTACCTCAAAAAAAAAAAAATGATAACTTTAATCCAATACAATCAAATAACAGAAAAGAAAAGCAAAAACCAAAAAACTCAGATGGATTTTGAAGAAAAGTAACAATGATTCATACCTAATGGCTAATTCTTCCCTAAATTGAATACTATTAAAATCAAAACAACAATTCCGGGTGTCGAGTGGATCTTCAGCTTGACCCAAGAGCGTGAATTCCTTTATGTAATTCACCTTTAGCAGCCTAATGTTCTTCCTAGGTCCCGATTTCGTGCTATCTTGTGATAACCCACTAAGTTAAGAAACTCAAATATCCAGGATTCGACCCCAAAGCATAAATTTGAAACGAAAATCAACAGGGAAATTGAGACGAGAAAGAAACAGCAGAGACAGAATCGGCAAGAAAAAAGGATATGGAGCACGAGAATGTTGGAGAAGCGGTCAAAGGTGAGGACCTGGCCTTCGAACTCGTCACCTAAGGTGGTCTTGATGAATAAGGAGCTGCCGACGGCGAAGTCCTCACCTTCCATGGCGGTTTTCGGCTTCCGTTTCCGGTGATGCTGTTCTTTCTTCCCTTATCTTTAGTCTGCTTTGGAGTGGACCGCCTTCGGACAATCAGGCCCGCCGTAATGTGTGGAGTAGATCTCTGATGGGCTCAGAGATCTTGGGTTTCAGTAGCCTTGGGTGGGTCTGGGGTTTTGGGTTTTGGGCTTTCAAAATATTATCTTAGATTTTAATCAAGGGTACGTTTTCTAAAGTACGAAACATGAATTATTTAATCGCATAGAAAAGTCTTAATATCAAAAGATTTATTTTTATCTAATTGTTAAAGCTATATAGTGTAAAATAATTTAAACTAAAAAGCACTTCTTTTATTTAATTAATACTTATTTATATTTTTTAAAATGCATAAGTGATCTGGGTATGGGCAAAAAAATGTGATCTTGGTCCTAGGCCCTTGAATTTCTTTAGGACGAGCTCGTTTCAAAGTTATTTTCAAATAAAAAATATATAATTATTATGATATTGTAAATTTGTAATAGAATATATTATTAAATAATTAATTTTTTAATATTATATATTTATTAATTTAATAATATATTACACTCATTTAATATTATATTATAATTATAAATTTATAATTCTTTATAATATTATAATTATAACACTGCTATTTTTAAATCAATCCTTATTTGAGATCAGGTCAATTGGCTCAATCGCAATCTTTAATCAATACGAGCCCAATCGGTTCCAAAGAGAACCGTTTGTTTGATTGTCATTATAAATTAAATTTCTCTAAGTTTTATTCTTAAAACACAAGTTAAGATGTAATAAAAACATTTTTTTATAATTAATTTATATTAAAAATAATAAAAATTAATTTTTTTATATTATTATCACGTAAATAGTTTTAATTAATTAAATTTAAATTAATTTATATATTTTATATATATATTAATAATAAAATAATATATTTATTACACTTTTATATTATACTTTAAAAAAATAAGATAAAAAATTCCTTATAAATTTATAGGGTTTCTAACTTTTCTAAAGTCACTTTACAAAACACTAGGAATATCTCCCTCATTAAAACTCTGTTTAACATTGTTGATTGTATCAATAATTGGCTCCCATGTTGGGTCTTTGTAGCTTTCGACCTACGTTACCAAAGGTGCATTCAATGTTTCAATTCCAAAGTTCAAAAACAAACAAATCTTCCACGTGTGATTTGTTACCTTTTACCTTTCAAGCATCGGCGTGGTGGTCCTCATTTGGGTGGAACATTAATGTGTGGACAAATTAATAATGGACTCGTGGGGCCTATCGGGCAGAAATGGTTCCCCAGCCCCAACCCCCACACAGTATCATTTTCTATACGAGGGGCAGAGCTGGGCTGCAGAGGTGGTC